TCAGAATATAATCAATGAATGTACATCTACATCTACTGAACATTTGGAGTCAATCTGATTTACTGGTAAACTGGACACCACAGCTAATTGACCTTAACTAACACAAAAATGGATACAAAGTAGTCAATTTTACAGTTATTGAGTTCAAATTTGGTGTGGTAGTAGCTGAGCGTACTTTCCAGCACCTACGAAAATCTGACTGTTCATACATTTCATGAGATCTTACAAATCACGTAGTTGCACATGCTCTAACCTCATTTTCTTTCAACAACTTTTCATTTTCTGCAACGACTTTGTCATTTCTCAACATAAATGGATCTTAATGTAAAACTGTGCCATAACAGGTGATGGACAATTGGCATTCATTTAAAAATGCATTTTCAATACTATTAATGGATTATTCTATCCATTATCTTTTACCATCCATCCATCCATCCATTATCTTTACCCGCTTCTTCCATTTTGGGTCACGGGGGTCGCTGGTGCCCATGTCCGGCAATCACTGTGCAAGGGGTGGGGTACACCCTGGACAAGTCGCAAGTCCATCACAGGGCTTAATGGATTATTTATAAATTAAAAATATATTATTATAACTGGATGGGCAGATCCAGTGGTGGTTCCTCTCTTCAGAAACAGGGACCAGAAGGTGTGCTCCAATTACAGGAGAATCACTCTCCTTAGCCTCCCTGGTAAGGTTTATTCAGGAATACTGGAGAATCAAGTCTAATTGTTGGTTGAACCTCAGTTCCAAGAGGAACAATGCAGGTTCCGTACTGGCCATGATCATTTCATTGATCAGTTATTTACCCTTACTAGGGTCCTCGAGAGGTCATGTAAGTCTGCCCTGCCGACCACCGTGTTCCTCTGGGTACACTGTGGGGTGTGCTCCGTGAGTATGGGATTGGGGGCCTGTTGATATGGGCTGTCCAGTCCCTATACAAGTAGTGCGAGAGTTTGGCTCACATTGCTGGTAGTAAGTCAGACCCCTTCAGGGTGGGAGTTGGATTCCACCAGGTCTGCCTGTTGTCACTGATTCTGTTCATAACTTTTATGGACAGAATTTCTCGGTGCAGCCAGGGGCAGAGGGAGTCTGGTTTGGTGGACTCAGGATTCCTTCTCTGCTGTTTGCAGATGATGTGGTCCTGTTTGTGTCATCGTGTCGTGATCTTCAGCTCTCACTGGAGCAGTTCGTAGCCAAGTGTGAAGCGACAGGGATGAGAATCAGCACCTCCAAATCTGAGGCCATGGTCCTCAGTTGGAAAAGGATGGACTGCTTTCTTTGGGTTGAGAGTGAGGTTATGCTTCAAGTTCAAATCTCCTCGGGGAGGCCGAGATAGATTAGGGGTAGGGCAGCCAACTTGGGACCAGAAAATTGTGGTTCGACTCCCAGCCATGTTGTGGTGTCTCTAAGCAAGACACCCAACCCCCAATTGCTCTCAGGGTGCTCAATATTTGCCCACTGCTCCACCTGGGTGTATCCCAGGTGTGATGGGTTAAATGCAGAGAACTAATTTCATCATTGTATGGGGACATACATTGATGACAACATATAGCACTTATACTTATAAATACATTGTGGTTTTGTTCGCGAGTGAGCGAAGAATGGAGCGTGAGATTGACAGACGGATTGGTGCAGTGTCTGCAGTATTGTGGACTCTGTGCCTTGTGGTGAAGAGGGAGCTGAGCTATAAGGCAAAGCTCTACTGGTCAGTCTAAGTTCCTACCCTCACCTATGGTCAAAAACTCTGGGTAGAGACTGAAAAAATTAGATTGTGGATACAGACTGTTTAAATGAGTCTCCTCCACTGGACTCTCCCTTAGAGATAGGGTTAGAAGTTCAGTTATCTGGGAGAGACTCGGAGTAGAACCACTGCTCCTCTACATCGAGAGGAGCCAGAGCGGCATGGCTGAGTGGTTAAAACAGTCGTCCTCCAATGCAAGAGTTGGGGGTTCGATTCCACCATGTCAAAGTGTCCCTGGGCAAGACACTGAACCCCTCATTGCCTCTGATGTGTGTCCCATCGATGGTTGAATGTAATAAACACTGATTATTCTTTGTACATACCTAGTAGAGTACTGTATGAATGGGTAAATGAGGGAACAGATTGTCTGGTAAAGAGCGTTGAGTATCTTGATAAGATAGAAATGTGCTATACAAGTAGAGCCTATTCCATTTACCAGTTGAAGTTGTTCAGGTTTTTAGTAAGGATGCAGCCTGGGCGCCTCCCTATGGAGATGCTTGAGCTTGTCCGATTGGGAGGAGACCCCGGGGAAGACCCAGAACATGCAAGACAGACAATGTCTCTTGGTTGGCCTGGAAACACCTTAGAGTCCTCCCAGAAGAGCTGGCTGTGGAAAGAGATGTCTGGGCCTCCCTGCTCAAGCCACTGCCCCCGAAATCTGACTTCAGAATAAGCGGAAGATAATGGATGGATGGATGGATGGATGGATGGATGGATGGATGGATGGATGGATGGATGGATGGATGGATGGATGGATGGATGGATGGATGGATGGATGGAACCAACATTCATGGTTTATTAAAAAGGATAATGGGGACACATAATATTAAAGGTGAAAAACCACCTTGTGCTGCTGAGTAACAATAAAACACTTAAGAGCAGAAGAAAAACAGGGTCTTTAAGGAAAAGTATACTAAAATGTGTGTGGAGGGCAAACAGGGATTACAAACAGAAGCAACATTTAACAAAAATAACTGTGCCAAATATTTTAACAATTTTTTAAAAAAGCTGAATGGATGCTTTCAGACAAAAGTTAGATCAAGAGAGAAATGTACTGTTTTAGGCAATCTTTGTAAATCCTCTCATACACTACTTGTTTCATTCATTGCTTCCATAAACTACACAACACATCTGAACCAAATGAACCATGGACAACTGAACATTTTATGAGATCTTATTTTAATCTTAATTTGTTTTTTAGTTTTTATTAAATAAACCAAAAATTACAATTCATCCATCCACCCATCCATTGTCTTTACCTGCTATTTTCTTTCAGGGTAGTGGAGGTTGCAGTCACTGTGTGAGAGGCAACCAACACAGGTTTCTAAACAAACCAACAAGATTTCTCAGATCTGTACTAACTTCTTTTTTATATTTTATGGTGCAGAGAAGTCAAAACCAGTTTGAAAAAGCACACAGAATGAGACAAAGTTTAAAAAAGGCAGAGATCTAAACTACTGTAGGGCGTAATGAAATGTGTGATTAGCTGGAATGTGACAATTCAAAGGGATGAGGTTCTTACAACCTCTTTAATCTAAAATCTGGGGGAAAGAGAAGTCTTTATGCCCACACAAAACTCTCATACACACACTCTTGCTTGCTCACTATCTCAGATCAGACCTACAAAGTAGTTCATTACTTACAGAAGCATTTCTAAAAATAAAAAAAAAAGGTTTTAATTGATATCTGAACCAAAATAAGCAGAAAAGCTTAGTTTGCTGCATTAAAACACAACCATGCACTGAGAAAACTGCTGTGGCTTTCCATTAGCAGGAGCATTTATCTCCCAAAGGAGACACCATTAAAGTTTGTGAAAAGTGTTGCTGGTATGGATTAGACACAGTGTATACTGCATGTAGTACAGCTATGAGGATTAAAAGTCTGTTGGGGTTACCTGACAGCACAGAAGAAGACAATATTCTGTCAGCTGAGTCTTATGAAGAGATGGTGTTTGACATATTTCCATTACCAAGAATGAGCAGTGATACAGTATGGGCCTCACTATAAACACTTGCTGACTTATTGCTTTGTTAAGCTTTCACGGTCTAGCAGTTACTGTGCAGAAGTTGTAAAGGAGATAAAGGATGCAGCAGAGAATGTCATGCTGATTATTATGGGCTGTGATGTGGCATAACTCCCATTTGTCTCCAACTGCAGAACAAATCTCCCATCAGGCCTTTGGAAAAAGGTTGCAAGCACATCTGTGTTTATCAGGCTGAAGTATGACTGAGCACATCCATCCATCATCATCCATCCATCCATCCATCCGTCCATCCATCCATCCATCCATCCATCCATCCATCCATCCATCCATCAACTCTTCTTAAAGGGATCGTTTGGCATCTTGTCCCAGGCCAAGGAGGATGTGTAATCTTTCCAGCAGGTTCTGAGTCTTTGAAAGCATTCAAAAGGGCTCAGGAGGCATCCTAAACAGATGCCTGAAACACCTCAGCTGACTCCTTTTGATGTGGAAGAGCAGCAGCTCTTCTCCAAGAACTTCCTAAAAGATGAAACTTCTTTCCATGTGTCTAAGGCTTAGTCTGGCCGCCCTGCAAAGGAAGCTCAACTCAGCTACTTGTATGTCTTGTTATTTTGGTCATAATCCATACCTCCTTACCATATGAGAGTTGGAATGTAGATCACCACTAAATCAAGGTATGTTTTTCTAGATTTTCAGTCATACAGGACCTGACACATCCTTAAAGTTTAAAATCAGAACAACTAGACTTTTTTACAGTTAAAGAAGTTTTGTTTCCTAAACAAATACCAAGCGTCTCAGAGAGCTCTAAGCTTGGAACGAGGCATGCTCCAGTTTTTAATTGAAAAGCTGCCCCAAGTGGGAAGCAAAATGTCTTCAGTTACAGAAAAGTAGCCCAGTTGCTTTGATTTTTAAATCTTTAGATAAGGTTAATCAAGAATTTCAACTATTATTTGCTCCATCTTTCCCTGGATAAGGCTCCATCTATCAGTTCATTTCCTGTTGATCCACATCTGAACTAAATTTGTGAAACTAGAATTTTTTCAACTCACCCCCAACAAACATGTCAAAATCCTGAAACAATTCCACATTTATTAATCACCTGTTTTCTTATAGACCCAAGAGAAAACAGCACCACAAGACACCAGCCAGGACAAGACATTATCATTCTTCTTGCTGCTTTTCTCTGTATTCACTCATATTGCTTTAACCTGATTGGGGGTTTTCCCCATCAGGAAGCAGGACAGACATAAAGCAGTGAAAGTGAAGTAAAATCTTACCAGTTTCACATCTCTCCCCTGTAAATCCTTGCTGGCAAACACAGTTGTTAGGTGACACACAGGTTCCCCCATTCTGGCACAGTCCGTCACACATGGCTGGAGATAAACCAGAGGGGAAGAGCCATTACTCACTAAGATGAATGGGCATTAACTGTGTAATTAGACCAGCGGCAGTACAAGTATTTGCACACAGAAGAAGAGCTAATTTGGTGATGTGATTCATTACAAGCTTCCACAATATTACTTCACGTGATTAATGCATCACGCCAAGGTTAATTCCAAAATGTGCATCATCCGTGCCTGGACTGTTAGTAAATGTGTCCCAAAAACACAGAAAGGTCATTTATGTGACAGAGTGAAACTTAACTCATTGTTGTATTTACACAAACCCAACCACAATTAATTGAGTGAGAAGAACAAAAAAAAAAAAAAAAAGAAATTCTACTGAGCAACAAATGTACCAGGAAGTACTTCACAGTGTGAGAAGAAAGCAGGTGTTACTCTTCCATTTTGTTGAGTGGTCCTTAAAAGAAAGCACTCAACCAGACAGACAAACTAATGCCCCGAGGTTTGGAAAAGATTGACTTTGACATAATAGTCTTTTATAAATATCTAAAAACTTATGGGTGTCATTTTTAGCAACATGTAACCAAAAATCTGTTTTTTTTTTCCTTTCAACTTAAAAATTGATTGACTATGATGATATAGCACTGATGTAATCAGAAATAATCAACAGCTGATTAATTGATCAGTCAATTATTGCTAATGGATTGCAAACTGATTGTATAAATCATTAGTCAAAATGAGTTTGGAATTTCAATCCATATTTTTTTATTTATTTAACTTTTATTTATACAGGTAGTCTCACTGAGTCACAAGGACTCATTTTGAAGAGGGACCTGTTTGGGTGCAGATGGTGGGTGTTAAGGGCCTTGCTCACAGGCTCAGAGTGGGGCAAATGAGGGTGGAGGCAGGTGTGGGTGTTTCACCTTTTCCACCCTCATTATGATGTTGTCAGTCTGGGGAGTTGAACCGGCAACCTTCCGATCACTGGCCCACCTTCTCTAACCTCTACGCCACCACTCTACACAATAATACCAATTTTAAAAACATATTATTTGGAATATTTAAACATGTTTATGCTTTAACAGCATATATAAACAAAAAATATTATTTTAAAACAGTTAAAGTGTGAAATCAGTGCTGTTTCCCCCTAAATAGATTTCTAATCAAGGAATCGATTGACCAGCTCAGGTCAGATCGATTCTCTAGTGAGGGCACAGATTACAAACAGAAAGAGGCACTCATTACATTTGGTGGGAGGATGTAGAACCATGACACGTTACAGGGGGAACATTTTTATTGCTTTGAAAGTGTGAGCTTGAACATCGTTGGCATTGATTCAAAAAGCTAAATCAAAACTGTGTCCTGCCCAGGTTTGTAAACGTGGTGGGTAGTGGGACGGCCCATTAAAGAGGATTAACACATCAAACAGCAAACCTGGAGCCACATTTCTAGCTTCAGCGTATTCAGCTTAAATTTCTAATCATGCTGTATTTGCTGAATCTTTGTCAAATAAATTTAAAATTAATTTACCCTTTCTTTTACTTTGCTTGAATTAGCTATTTCTCATTGTTGACCCAAGAAATAAATGAACTAAAAATGCCATTTTATCTAACTTCCCTTGATTACTACCAAATTTAAAATTGGAAAATGTGTTATTCAATACAATATAATTTTTAAAAGTGTTCCAAAAACAAACAAGTGTAAAAAGTAACACAGAGTAGTCTTAACACCAGTTTCAAATAAAACACAGAGAACTGGACCGTCACTGATGCAGAGATGATAGAAAAATATACAGGACAGAGGAAACGCTAAATGTTTAGCACAGGTAAATCAATAACACACTGATCAGGGATCAGAATGAAAATTTGATTGCATCAAATACTGTTACATACAGAGCTGCCATTTACTGGGATTGTGTGAGATTCTAGAAATAAAAAAAGCTTTGCATGCATCTTCGGCTTTAATCACAGCATTGTGTGCAGATGCAATCACTCATCACAATGAGACTAACAAGCAGATGAAGCATCTTTGATCCAATGTTCTGTGCAGACTGGAGTGCAAAGTTGTAAAAAAAAAAAAAGTCAAACTGGAAACTGCAGGGCAGGTGAAACAGGTCTGTGGCTCTGTGAGTGCGACACAGATGTGTAAATGGTAAATGGACTGTACTTATATAGCACCTTTCTATCTGATCTAGATACTCAAAGCGCTTCACACTACAATCTATGCCTCATTTACCCATTCATACAGCTCTATACTAGATCTCTACAAAGCTAATTGAACAAATCATTCTAAAGAGACTAATCAGAGCTCTTTCACATTCACACACCGATGGGACACACATCAGAGGCTAAGAGGGGTTCAGTGTCTTGCCCAGGGATACTTCGGCATGTGACTGCTGGTGGATTTGAACCCCCAACTTTTGCATTGGAGGACGACTGCTCTAACCACTCAGCCACAGCCGCCCTAACATACTATGGGGGAATATTCACAATCATTTTCAAGGAACAATAAGACCTGTTGAACTTTTATATTCCCATAACAACAACCAGAAGAGATAAACTACCGGTAGACTATTTTCTCTCCTTCAAAGTGAAAAATATCCACGACAAAATGTTTTGAATGATCCAAAACAAGTTTTTGTACTGACTCGTTACGCTATTAAGCTTTCTACAAACTTTACAAGATAAAGACATCTGTTCTCGCACAGGTAAGACATTCTTTTTCACATGCACATTTTGTGCTCTAAACAGAAACTGCAGCACATAATTCCTGATAAACTCTCGCTCTGCAGCACACGTCACACTTAAATTGAAACCACCTCGAGAGCACAGCTGACAGAGATGCTTTTTGGGTTTCAGCTGAAGATGAAGAAGCTAAAGGAGGAAGATCTGGTATTTCTGTTGGGGACAGTGGTGGGATGTAACTAAGTACAAGCACTTCTTTACTGTACTTAAGTACATTTTTCATGTATTTGTACTTTATTTAAGTAGAGTTAAACATGGGTAATTTCGACTTTTACTCCACTACATTTTACATGAAGTATCTGTACTTTCTACTCTACTACATTTCTATAATGCGTTGCGTTACACATTACATTCATGTTGCTTTTTTTTTTTTGTTCTTGTTTTGTTTGTTAGTTTGAAAGTAACCAGTGGTGAGAGGAGAGTTGGTCCATTGAATCACTACAAAGTGGTCAAGCAACGTTAGACCTGCCTTCAAGAAGAGCTGGACCAATGACGTATATTCTAGTATATACGTTATTGAGCTGGGCGCACCCACAGCACCACTAACACACCAAAAATGGATTCCATCATGGAGATTCAGCCAGAAGATACGTGCCACCCATGACCTTATAGAAATATTATTGAAAGTCTATTGAAAGACTATTGAAAGATTATTCAGTACAGCAGGTCAGATTCTCTCCCAAAAGAGCCAGACTGGACTCAAAAAACTTTGAAAACCAACTTCTTCTGAACTTGAACAAGAAATTCTTGCTGCAATATTAAAATGTGTCAGTTCATGATGTTAGGAGACAAGAGATGTCTTCAAATGTCTTGACACTCAGGCCCAAGTTTTGAAAATGGTGTCAGGAAGTTAAAATATTGTTCACTATTGACCCACTACAAGGTCGACTAGACAGTATTTTAACTAGAGTTGATGACAAACTGGAGTTGAAATGATCAGATGTTCCTTTGTTAGTTGTGTCTAATGCTCCTTTTCTCAGGCAGACAACTTTTACTTAAATGTGTTGACTGCAGTTAAAATGACACATTGGTTTTACTTTGTGTTAAATAAAAATTTTCAAAGGTATAATCATTCCTCTTTCTTATTTTGCTTAATGGCATTTAACTCTGCAGGTCATCGCTGATGATGCACAGAATCACAAGTCCAAGTGTGAAATGTGTCACTGTAGGGTTTTTGTCCCGTCTCTCTGTTTCCTCACGTTTCCTGTTCAGCTCTGTTTTTCCTCCTTGTGTTCAGCCCCTGTCTCACCTGTGTCTCATGTTAATCACTGCAGGTGTCTGTCGTTGACACAATCAGTGTCTGTTAGGACATTAACAGAGTACTCGAGTAATCTACACATCGATTGCTAGGACATCTATCGAGGTTAAAAATGTTACGTCGAGTATCCGTAGTGACGTCATATTATGCGACCACCGTATGACCGTAGGGGGGCGGAGTTGCACTGTTGCAGATCACAGAGTATGGTGTAACACCGGGTCCAATCCATCGAACCAGAACCAGCTTCGGTTTAAGTTTCGTTTCTGACCTGCTGGATGTTTCTTCACATTTGCAGTTTAATAATAATAACTAATAGTTTATCTAAAAAAGTTAAATCTGGTCCTCTGGACATTCAAAAAAACAAAAAAAACAAAGCAAATCAACAAAAAAAATGTAGAAACGTTTCGTCTCTCATCCGAGAGACTTCCTCAGTCTGAGGAGCTGTATTCAGCTGAAGATCAACAGAAGATCAACATCATCAGGCCAGGACTCTGCGGTCTACACTCATCTCCAGGCCAGCGGTCACTCTTTCAGGGATGAAGATGTGCACATCCTGGATAGAGAGGAACGATGGTTTGAGAGAGGAGTAAAGGAGGCCATCTTTGTGAAAAGAAATCGTCCATCATTAAACAGGGGTGGAGGCCTCCGTGTTCAACTGTCCCCCTCTTACAATGCTGTGATTGCTAGTATCACTCAGCCCTCTGTGAACAGTAAACAGCCATCAGTGTGCTAATGATCCATTGTTATGCTGATGGTCCTTCTTGAGCATGTGATCAGCTGGTTTTGGTTGTCAGCAGCAAAACTGGTTGATCCACCCTGAGACGGTGCTATTTAAGAGACTGAGCTGAATACAGCTCCTCAGACTGAGGAAGTCTCTCGGATGAGAGACGAAACGTTTCTACATTTTTTTTGTTGATTTGCTTTGTTTTTTTTTTTTTTTTGAATGTCCAGAGGACCAGATTTAACTTTTTTAGATTTTTCTACCTGGATTATTGAGCATGCATCAGGATATTTTGAACCACTTTGGC